TGAACAAAATACATAATCACTGCTCCAAGAAACTTATAATCTAGTGACCAAAAAACATGGTAAAATATATAATGTAATTGTAAATTATGATTTTACTAGGAAATAATAGTAGTAAGTCTGAGAAGACACTTCTGAGGAGGTAACATTTAAATCGAGACTTAAGCATATGAATGTTCTCAAAAAATTGTAAGCCTATGCAAAGGCCCCAAGATGGGAAGGAGTTTGGTATGTTCTAGGGACTGACCGTAGACATTTTCGATGGAATAAGTTGGCGAGAAAAAGAGTGGCATGAAGTTGGAAAAGTAGAAAGGCAGATCACATACCTCTTGTAAGCCAATGGAAGGAGTTTGAAATTTAATGTAAGTGCATTGGGAAACTACTATAAGATTTTAAGTAAGGGAGTGTTGTACATTTTCAAAAGGCCACTGTGGCTATAATATGGTAAATGGATTCAAGAGAACATTTGGAAGTGGCGAAACTAGCACCATGGTCTGATGACAAATGAAGACAGCTTGAGCAAGGATGGTTTTGCTGAAGATGGAATCTTATGAGCTGAAATATGTGCCCCCCAAAATTCATATATTGAAGTCCTAACCCCCAGTGCCATTCAGTGGGACTGTATTTGGAGACAGGGCCTTTAAAAGATATAAATAAGGTATAATAAAGTGAGGTCCTATGGGTGGGCCCCAATTCAATCTGACTGTTGTCCTTATAAGAGGTTAGAGCACAGATAGACACAGAGGGAAGATTATGTGAAGAAACCAGAAGACAGTTATCTACAAGCCAATGAAAGAAGGCTTAGAAGAAACCAACCCTGCTGACACCTTGATCCCAGAATTCTAGCTTCCAGAACTGTGAGAAAATAAATTTCTATTGTTTAAGCCACCAAGTCTGTGATACTTTGTTATGACAGCCTTAACAAACTAATATATGGAAGAAAGTGGATGTATTCCAGATGTATTTTTGCACCTGAAACCAATGTTACTTGCTGATGGATTGAATTGGGAAAGTCAAGAGACTCTCAGCTTCTTAGTTTTAGAACTTTCAGAACAGACCTACTTAAAATATTTACCAAGAAACAATCTTGTGAAATAAAAGAGCAACAATTGATTGAAGACTTTGAAACTCAGAAAGAAGGATGAGAATTAAATGAAAATTTGGAAGCCTTAAGAAAAGTCTAAGTGTCATACAAATGTAAGTCATTGTTGTTAACTTCATCACAGTTGTTGTTAGTGTATGATACACAATAGGGATCTACTGCAGTTTTGAATGGGCTACAACAGTGAAAATGACCCTGAGGGAAATGGATGGAGAATCACAGATTGATAGGAACAGGAAAGGCTAGATGGAGCCTGGAAGACCAGCCAGGAATTGGCTGCAGAAATTGAGGTGTGCGCTGAGAAGTGCTGATGACCAGAGAAGGTCAGAGGGCCTGGAGATATTTCAGTAAAACACACACACATTTACATACATATATACATTAGATAACTAGAGGCTAGAAGGGAAAATGTGACCAAGCCACTTGTCATTTTCTACAAAGGCAATAATCCGACCTAAAGTAATTTTCTTTTTAAAACCTTCTTGGAGCAGGGTGTGGTTGCACTTGCCTGTAGTCCCAGCTAGCTAGAAGGCTGAGGCCGGAGAATTGCCTGAGCCCAGCAGTTGGAGGCTGCAGTGCAGATGATGGCATCTGAGAATAGCCACCACACTCCAGCCTGGGCAACATAGACCTCATCTATTAAAAAAAAGCAATACCTTCTTGGGGTCAGGATTCATACCTAACAGAAATGCTTTGCATATAAACTTAATAAATATTTGCATATTGGAGAAGTAATCTCTTATATTTTGCCTTTTCTTAAAAGGTAGTAGATAGTATGGTGGGATATCTCCAGAACAGGAACTGGAAGTTCTGGCTCTGCCACTGAAGAGCTGTATGGCTTTAGGCAAGTCATTTAAAACAGTGCTGTCCAAGAGAAATTTCTGTGATGAGGAGTCTGTTATCTATATCTGTGCTATCTAATACCATAGCTACTAGCCACATGTATGGCTATTAAGTACTCGAAATGTGGGTAGTGTGACTAAGGAACTGAATTTTTTGTGTAAGTGTGGCTATCATATGGGACAGTGCAGGTTAACCTCACAAGAGCTCAAGTTCTTCTGTAAAAGGAAAAAGTTGGGTTAAGTGATCTCCTTTGCCTTTTAGTTCTAAAACGCTGTTATTCTAATTTGGCACAAAGAATCCATTGGCATAAGAATTCAAACTTTGACTTCCTGAAACAAAATATATTTTTAAAGAATGTTATATGTGCATTCTACATGTATACTTTTTACATATAGAAAATCTTGACAAATTTAATCAATTGTGTATAAATAAATGCTGTTTTAGACTGTCTATAGCATATATTGTGACATTAACAACTGAAGAAGAACATGGGGTACTTGGAGAGGATTCAGAGGGCTGCAAGATGATTAAAGAGTTGAGAATCAAGACTGAGTAAAGGTTAAGGGACTGAGATTGTTTAGAAAAAAAGACTGGGGGAAGATTGAATAATTCAAATATACGAAGGGTTTTAGATAGAAATGGTATCCAGCTATTCTCCACTTACTAGACAAAACATTAGGAACTTATTATAGGTTAAGGAAGAAATAAGTTAGGTATTAGGAGGCACTTCCAGAGAGTTCGGTATATTAAATTCTCAAAAAAATTAGTTTTCAACTTAATGGTTTGTTTTTTTTTTTTTTTTTTTGAGACAGAGTCTCACTCTTTTGCCCGGGCTAGAGTGAGTGCCGTGGCGTCATCCTAGCTCACAGCAACCTCACACTCCTGGGCTCAAGTGATCCTACTGCCTCAGCCTCCCAAGTAGCTGGGACTACAGGCATGCGCCACCATGCCCGGCTAATTTCTCTATATATTTTTAGTTGTCCAATTAATTTCTTTCTATTTTTAGTAGAGACGGGGTCTCGCTCTTGCTCAGGCTGATTTCGAACTCCTGAGCTCAAACAATCCGCCCGCCTCGGCCTCCCAGAGAGCTAGGATTACAGGCGTGAGCCACCGCGCCCAGCCCAACTTAATGGTTTTTAAGAGGTTTTTGTGCTACATGTCACATTGAAGATATGTGTTTGTCAAAACAGCAGTCACAGAATGTTAAAAACTACAAAACAAATTGGAATCACTGCTTATGAGATCTTTTAAAATACGATTAATTGTCAGCTTTCAGGTAAGATTCAAAACATCAGTTTTTTGAGATCCTTTACAACATGAACATATTATCAATTAAATAGATATTTTCAATTATCAACTAAATATTAATACATCTTGTATATTAGATATAGATATTTCTGGGATAAGTGCTGAGATTAAAATATTTAATTATAAAATGAAGGTATTTCCTTTGATGTATAATGTTTACAAAGGATTTTATTTAATATTTATAAAACAAAACCAATGTAGAGTATAATATAGAGTAGTGGTTCTCAAATGTCAACATGCATCAGAAGCACCTAGAAGGCTTGTAAAAACCCAGATGCTGTTTCCACCTCTGGAGTCCCTGATTTAGTTGGTCTGGGTTATGGCCTGGAAATTTACATTTCCAACAAGTTAGTGATGCTGATGTTGCTGGTTTGGGGACCACACTATGAGAACCATTGACAGGGAATAATATATTTAGTATTTCTAGAAGACAAATTCCCATTTTTAGTATAATTTAGTAAAGTATAGTCAATAATGAGATCTAGTAGGCTCTGTTTTCAAGCCAGGATGTGGAAAGCACAAGCCTGAATTTGATAACATGCATTGAGGGGACCTACTTGGTATAGGCCCCATTCAATTCTGCACTAAGCCTGAAGGGCCTCATACTTCAAAATTCTCCATTTATTGTTCACAGTAATTTCTAGCTTATTGCAGAGGAATCTCTTTCAAGTAAGAGTCTACTTCATAGTTATCGATTAGCATCTAATGTAGAACATGCATAACAATTGACAAAGACTGTGATCACGAACATTTTATATTGAGAATTCAGAGCATGAATTAGAATGAAGGAATAAGTCATTTTAGGACTATATTAATTCACAAGTACACACAAAGTATCTTCTAAATGTAAAAGTGGAGAACTCTTAAATAATGTCTCTGAGTTGAATAATCAAGTCCTATCAGATCAGGCAGAAATTTTTTCAGCAAGATGTTCCTTCCAGTTTCTCTTCATGCAATTATACCAACTCAACTAAATCTCAGTCTCCTTAATCCACATAATGATGAAATAATAAAAACTCATTCACACTTATTTCATTTGATCTTCATTATTATCCTGTAAAATAGGAATTTTTATACCAATAACTACCAATGCCTAGCACCTAGCCAGCACTCTATAAATGCTTTTACAAATGTTTCCTCTGAATTCATCCACTCAATGCCAGACATAGTTAGCAAACGGTATGAAGATCCAGAAACAGAGGGGAATAAGCAGAAGTTCTGAGGCTGTTGAAGCCATGAGTGGACAAATCATGAGGAAAAGAGGGAAGGAGAGAAGGTTCTCCAGTTTTAGCAGAAAGGAAGGCAGAGTCTCAGTAGTGTATCACCGTGATGGGAAAACACAAATACCGCGTGATTGATTCTGAGGGTTACAAGGTTACCCCAAATGTAATTAGAGTGACATTAAATCCTAAGCAAGACACATGTAGCTGGCTCTATGAGGCCTGGCTACATTTCGTAGGACTGTTTCTTTCTCCCTTTCTTCCTATGAATTCTTAAGTTGAACCCTCATTAATTGAGGTAAATTATGTCCCTTGCAGTAGGAAAATCCCTAGAAAGTATATTATCCAGCAATTTTTTTCTAAACAACACTTTAAGGGAATGAAAGTTTGTTTTGTCTCTTCACACTTTCAACTTAACTTCCCAAAGATCAACCTAGCTTTGTTCTTAATGTTTAATATTAAGACTATATAGGGTAGAGACTAGGGGCCATGGGAGGTGTGGATTCTGATTTCCACCCTCCTCCGGGAAGATGTTCTACCAGATCTCCCTGGAGCACGAGATCCTGCTGTACCCGTGCTACTTTGGCCCCAACTTGCTCAACACGGTGAAGCAGAAGCTCTTCACCAAGGTGAAGGGGACCTGCACGGGGAAGTATGGCTTTGTAATTGCTGTCAGCACCATCGACAATATTGGTGCTGGTGTGATCCAGCCAGGCCGAGGCTTTGTCCTTTATCCAGTTAAGTACAAGGCCATCATTTTCCGGCCCTTTAAAGGGGGGGTCGTGGATGCCGTTGTCACTCAGGTCAACAAGGTTGGACTCTTCACAGAAATTGGGCCCATGTCTTGCTTCATCTCCCGACATTCCATCCCATCAGAGATGGAGTTTGATCCTAACTCCAACCCACCATGTTACAAGACAGTGGATGAGGAGATTATGATTCAGCAGGACAATGAGATCCGCTTGAAGATTGTGGGGACCCGCGTGGACAAGAATGACATTTTTGCTATTGGCTCCCTGATGGACGATTACTTAGGGCTTGTGAGCTGAGCACGGGGGCTTCCTACCTTGAGTCCTGATCTAGGAAGTATGACTATCACATTTACTGTGTTGTCCAGAGGCCCAGTCTGGCTGCTCTTGTGGAGGCAAGGTAGGTACCTTGTCCCCAGAAGACATCTGGCATTTCTTTTGGTTTAGCTGCTACTCCCAGCTTTTTGACTATGTGTTTTCATCATAAAGTATTCTTAGTTCTCAAAAAAAAAAAAAAAAAGACTATATAACCCTACATGCAAGCCAGGATGTGTGTGTGGGGGAAGACTATGTAACCCTAAACCAGCACTATTGGTCAAAACAAAGAAATAAAATACTACTCCTTAAATGACATTCCCTTATCTTTCTACATACATAAATTTATTGATAACCATTTTGAAATGCCCAAAATTAAACATAATATTCCTCATGGTGAATTTGAGCTCTGGAATCAGAAATGTAGGTTCAAATTTGGCTCTGTCATGTACTGCAGTGCAACTTTGGGCAAATATTTAACCTCTCTGTGCCTCAGCTGCTTCATGCATAAGAGGTTGCTTTTAATTTTAATTTTTAAAGAGTTGTGTAAGGATTAAATGAGATATTCCATTTAAAGCAGTTAATACAGTGTCTGGCACAATGTTAACTGTTACTCTCATTCCATCAGAAGCATTTGAAAACTCAGACAAATTCATTAGCATTTAGTAAATGTTGTGATGTCTTGGAGGTATATGGTATAGAAATATCTGTCTGGTTTGTAGAGACTGAATTTTCAAAATTAGAATCATGGCAGCAAGGTAATCGAGAATCAACCCATACCTCCACTTTTGGGCTCTGGGGTCTCTTCTTTTCTATGTTTACTGAACACCTCTTATTTATTAAGCATTGCTATCATGAGGATATGGAGATGGGAGACACTGCTGCACAAGCACTCAGAGGAGTGTTAGGGACACAATACATATATAAATAATTGCAACAAACTATGGTCAGTGGAGGCAATGGCCAGATTCTAGGTGAAGCTCCTTGCCTACTGTGGGGTGGGGCCTGCTGAGAAGGGAAGAGCCAAGAAGGGCTTTCTGTTAGAGCAGCCATCCCCCACCTTTTGGGCACTAGGGACTGAGTTCATGGAACACAATTTTTCCACAGATGGTGGCGGATGGGTATGGTGAGCGATGGAGAGCTGCTGTAAATACAGACGAAGCTTCGCTCGCTTAGCCACCATTCACCTTCTGCTGTATGGCCTGGTTCCTAACAGGCCATGGACCAGAACCAGTCTGCAGCCCAGGGGTTGGGGACCACAATGTTAGTGGTTAAGCCTTGGAGGCTGAGTATCAAGGCAAACCAGGTGAAAGGTGGGTAAGGGAGTTCTAAACAGCAGTAATAACATCTGCAGGAGCAAAAGGATGAGAGAGAAAATGGCTCATTCAAGGAACCACACGTGGTTCAGTGTACCTGGAAAACGGAACACATATAGGTGAGTGGCAAGAGACAGGGTAAGGAGAGAAGCAAGGACTAGAATGATTAAAGGCCTTACATGCCATTCTAAGGGGTTTGAATTTGTCCTGAATTATATCACACCACAATCAAACTTAAATGTTGGAAAGATCACTCTGACATCAGAATAGAAGTCTGATGGAGCCAGGTAAAACTAGAAGCAGGAACATGATTTTGGAGGTTCTGCAAAAAATGACAGGAAGTGAAGTAGAAGTAGAAATGGGCGTGGAGTTAGGTGGTAGACTTTCAGAGATCTGAAAGAAAATTAATACAAATTAGTAACCGGTTGAATATAAGTGATGGTTAGAGGGAGGTGACTAAGAGAGTACCCAGTTTTCTGGCTTGAACAACTATGTGGATCACGATGCCATTAACTGAGATGGTGAATCAGAAGGAGGATGTGGCTTGGGAGGGTATGTGTGTGGCTGGCGGTAGAGGAGGGTAGGGGTAAAGAGTTTAGTTTTAGATGCATTGAGTCAAAGGGTAAGTGAATAAAAGGTGAAGAAGTGAAGAGTAGCATGTGGACCACTTTTTCCAAAAATGTACCTGTTGAGGGAAAGGCTTGTGAGGATATACACGTTTCTGTAGGTTCAGGGAAAAATTTTCAGGGCTTTTGTGCATGGTGGCCTCCATATTTCTGAGCAGTTAGAGATGATGTCATTTTCTGAGAAGTAGGGGCATGATGAATAAATGGGATGAGGAAATGGTTAAGTTTAGAATAGCCATACTATATGAGAAGAGGCTCATTGCAGATGCAAGGAAATGGGGTTAGAGACTATAAATGTGAAAGGGCACCAATCCACCCACTTGTGAGATTCCTTTTAGTTGCCCCCAGAAACCAGGGTGTCAGCCAGGCTTCCCAGACGCTGGGAGAAGGCTGGCCACTTCCTTTTTTTAAGTTCCCAGTGTACTTAGGCATGCCAGAATGCCAAGATGGGTATGTTTCAAATGTTTACACTTAGCAAATTAATACTTTTAACACATGGTAATTACCATGCAAAATAATTGTGCTATAGACCAGGTAATTATAGAATTTACTTAAAATATTAACTCATAATACGTGACAGATAGTGTCATTTGGTAATGGGACAAAGTTTAAAGTTCTACAATGAATGCCTTCTTGTAGTTGTATAGTGTAGGCATATCTCTGGGATAGTAGTATAATCTTACTTGGACAAAATATCAAAAGCTTTGATTGAAGCCTTTAATGAATGTGGATCCTGGGCCCCCCATAAGCCTTAGGTATTGGAGTGGAAAAGATAGGTGATTGTATTAATCCAGTTTAACAGACCCAGTTCATTAAAATACATGGGACAATGGAATTGAGGGCATAGATGATTGTGAGAGGTTTGAGCAATAGATTATGATTTCCAAACTGAATTGGCATGAAAGTTGTTTTATTCTGTTTGTGCTGTTATAACAAAATACCACAGACTGGGTTATTTATAAATAATAGAAATTTATTTCTCACAGTTCTGGAGGCTGGAAAGTCCAAGATCAAAGCAGTGGCAGCTTCAGTGTCTGGAGAGGGCTGCTCTCTGCTTCCAAGATGGCACCTTCTTCCTACATCCTTCAGAGGGAATGAATGCTGTGTCCTCACATGACGGAGGGACAAAAGGGAAAAAGGGCCAAATGCCATGTGAAGCCTCCTTTATTAAAGGCCTTAATCCCATTCAGGAGGGAGGAACCCTCATGACCTAATCACCTCCTACAGGCCTCACCTCTTAATATGAATGCAGTGGATATTAAGTTTCACCATGAATTTTGGAGGGACACAAGCATTCAAACCATAGCAGAAATGAAAAGAGGAGGAAATGATAGGTTGGGGAAAAGAGAGAGATCAATGATAAATGAGGTGCGGGTAATAAAATGAGAGAACCAAATGGTTATTAAGGAAATGGTATAACATAGTTTGATTTCACAACTGGAGTATTTCTGGATGATGACAGCATGTAAACATAGGGGCAGGTGGTTAAAGTGAAGTACAGATGAGCATCCATTGTAGTTGAGAGGTCAAGTTATCATAACACTAGTGTTTTGATATAGTAATACATGGACGTTAAAAATGATCCAAGATAATAGTGGATCTTTGTATGAAGAAGGTGTCTCCCCATTTCAAGTTGCCTTAAACTGATAATTGCTCCAAAAATTGGGCAGGGGAGGCAGTAAGGGGACAAAGCATTGAATACGTGTTATCTTTATCCCTTACTAACCTATGACTAAAATTTTACAGATGAGGAATAGTAAGTTATGAAATCTTGGTTGATGATACAGAAGTGCTTACAGAACATAAAATCATTCCAAAGAGCCTTTCAATCCACTTACCAAAGTAATGTTCTCAATTTGATGGCAGGCGAAACAATATTGAATAAAGCAAACTCTGCCGTATCTTAAGTCCTTTAATTATAGTTTTCATAGTAGTAAATGTGTTAGTAAGGACAGCTTCCATTACAGCTCCAGGTTTTCAACCACTTTGGTTCTTAAGTTTTCTTTCAGGTGAAGTTATTAATGTATAGTTTCTGCCCAAAGGCTTTGTTTGTGTGGATTGATTATTGGATGTGAGAGGAAGGGTCCCTGAGGTTGTGCTTAGAAAGTGAGGACTGCTGCAAAGGAGAGGCTATGTCACTACCTGTGAAGGAATCTGTGAACATGGGACAATGACGACAGCTGACATTGATGTAGAATTTGCCATATGTCAAAAAACTGGGCTAAGTATTTTATATCCATTGACTCATTTAATGCCCCAACAACTATGAGGTACCCCTGACACTAATACTAAAGAACAGGAAACAAGTAACTCATCCAAGTCTTACAGCTAGTAAATGGAATTGGGACTTGAACTCAAAACTCTGTAACTCCAGAACCTACAAGTTTGTTGTTAAATACACCTGACATTTATGGTGGGGGTAGGAACAAATCCAAGAAGCAGTCCCGAGAGTCACACTGATTCTTTTCTTCGGGCGGGAAACTGGGGTTCCACAGCGGTTGATTAGAATCTTCTGTTAGAATTTTGAGTGTCTATGCACACCGATAATCAATGTGGTGGGGGGAAAAAAGAATTTTGAGTGTCTGAAGCTTGCTCTCCTGGCCCAGCCCTACCATACCAAGTGATACAGATCCCTCCTCAGAATTCTCCAGGACATGTTCTGGCTGGAGGAAGAGATTATCTTTTTTGCTCAGGGGCCCTATCCTTGCTTAATCCTATTGATACCTCTGTTTCACTAGCATTGAAGACAAAATCATTAATACAAGAACCAGAACCAGAACCAGAATTCTTTAGAATGGGATAGTGGATTTAAAATCAGACTGATGTTGCACACCCCTGTGAATATACTAAAAATCTCAGACATTGAATTACTTTAATGGACAAATTGTATGTGGATTGTATCTCAATAAAGCTGCTTTTAAAAAAAAGAGTGTATGACTTAAAAAAACAAATTTTGAGCTATTTCAAATGGACTCCTTGACATATGACACACGGAGAATCAGGTGCCTGGGGTGACCTGCTTGCCTATTCATTTCTTACTCAGTCCACGTTGACAGAGTTCCCTGTCGTGCCAGGCACAGGATGACAAAGGCTCCCATCCCCTTGAGGATGAAAGGGATAGAGGAATGCTTGTAACCAAAGTTAAGCACTGATTTTCTTTTTTTTGGGGGGGGTGGGCGTTTGAAGTTCTCAGTGACTATGTTCCAAGTTTGAGTGCTAAAACAGTAGATATGATTCTCACTTTTAAAAAAGGCAATGTTTTTGCTTCTTTTAGCAACTTATATTGGAGTCACAGACCAAAGCTTCAATTACAGTAATCGTTTACCCTTGTGAAGTGGGTTTTTGCATACTAAGAAATAAGTGAAAAATTACGAAATCAAGTTAATGTTTAAAAATGGACTATAACAGTGCCTGTTATCTATTTTAACTCCAACCGATCCCGGCGGCTCGGTCCAGTCGAGCTACCGCGGGGAGAGTGTAAGTGGATTTACACGTCCTCTCCGGACTTGTTTCGCTCTTGGCCATTTCGCACGTCCAGGCAGCTGGAGGAGCCTTTCCCGAGCGCCGGCGGGGAAGGGGTCGGCCGGGGCGGGGCGGGAGGACTTCCTGCGGCCAAGGGCGGCCGCGTTCTCCGCAGACCTGAGTTCCGACCCAGCTTGCACCCAGCATCTGTCGGACGGTCGGTTGCTCTGGCAGCTCGGAGCAGCAGGCACGCACTCGGCCCCTGCCCGGTGAAGCGCGGGCGGAGGGAGGACTGCAGTGAGCGAGAGTGGGTCACGTGCGGCCGGGAGAGGAACTGGAGGCCGGGAGTCTGCAGGAATGTAGTAACTTGCAGCGAAAAGTTTCCCTCAGCGGCCGGCCGCAGATTCGGCGCGGGCGGGCGCGCAGAGGAAGGAAGAGCTGGGAGGAGGCGGAGCCGGCGAGTGGCTCGGGCGGGCAGTTCTCTCAACTTTAGTTTTGGCGTCTGAGGCGAGTTTCTGTCTCAGTCGGGCGCAGCCGCCGCCAGGGAAAAGAAAGGGAGGAAGGAAGGAACAAGAAAAGGAAATAAAAGAGAAAGGGGGAGGGGAAACGCAACTAGCTGTCCGGCCTCCGTCAAGGGAGAAGGAAAAAAGTTCTCCGGCGCCACAGGCCCGAGTCTCCCGCAGCCCCTCCCGAGCGCAGCCGCCAGACCAGTGGAGCCGGGGCGCAGGGCGGGGGCGGAGGCGCTGGGGCGGGGGATGCGGGGCCGCGGCGCAGCCCCCCGGCCCTGAGAGCGAGGAGAGCGCCGCTCCCGCCGCCCTCGCCTCTTCTCCCATCTCGACCCGTCGAGCCGGGGCGTCCGGGCGGAGCCCTCGCCCGCCTGGTCAGGGGGTGCGCGTCGGGGGAGGCAGAAGCCATGGATCCTGGGCAGCAGCAGCCGCCTCAGCCGGCCCCCCAGGGCCAAGGGCAGCAGCCCGCGCAGACCCCCCAGGGGCAGGGCCCGCCGTCCGGGCCCGGGCAGCCGGCACCCCCGGCGTCCCAGGCGGCGCCACAGGCACCCCCCGCCGGGCACCAGATCGTGCACGTCCGGGGGGACTCGGAGACCGACCTGGAGGCTCTCTTCAACGCCGTCATGAACCCCAAGACGGCCAACGTGCCCCAGACCGTGCCCATGAGGCTCCGGAAGCTGCCTGACTCTTTCTTCAAGCCGCCAGAGCCCAAATCCCACTCCCGACAGGTAAGTTCGCCGCCCCTCTCCCCCCTTCCCCGTCGGGCAGGCCCCAGGGGCGGGTGGCGCTCGGGAGCCGCGGCCGCCAGCTCCGACCGGGGGAGGGGGGTTCCGGGAGCTCTGGCGGGGCTGGGGGATCTCGCGGTGAAGTGGAGGAACTGGAGGCGCCCGTGCGGCCGCGGTTACCGGCTCCCCACTTCTCCCGGAGTCGCGGGCCGAGATTTGTTTTTCCTCTTGGAGTTTCTCTCTGCGGTTGCAGCCCCGGGGGGCGTACTTTCCCCATTCTTCCTTTCTTTCTTCCCGGGGTTCCCGGGAGGTTGGCGGGAGCGGAGGGGGAGGTGGGAGGAAGGAAGGGGGTGGGGAGAGTCGGGCCGGGGCCGCGGTGGGCTCGCACAATGCGCGCGCCTCCGCGCTCCGCACCTTCGCTCCCGCTCGGGCTGGGCCGGGAAAGGGGGAGGGGGGCCTCTGGCATTTGTGTGTGGGTGAGTTGCCAGCGGCGGCCGAGTTTGTGAAGTTGAGCGCTTGGCCCCCTTTCCTTCTGGGCCTCTCGGTCCACTTCAGCCTCCTGGGGAGTCAAATAATTGTTCTCTTGTTTTCCAGTGTTGATTAGGGGTGGGGGTTGAACCGGTCCATTTAGTTTCTTGCTCTTTCCTCCTCCCTCCTCCCCCTTCTCTTCCCTGTCCCCCAGCCCTCCTCCTCCTCTCTCCCTCCTCCCCCCCCTCCTCCTGTAAGCATTTATTTTCCTCGCGGCCTGGCGCTTTCAGAATACGGGACTCGGGCTTCCCCTGCCCAGACTTTCCTGGAAGTTGTTTATGGAGTTCTTTCACTCCCGCGCTTCCCTTGTGCTCTGGAACTCGGGCAGGCTCGCTCTCATCAAGCTTAGTAGGTTCTCGTGTTGGTTTCCCGACTGTAGACGATTACTTACAGTCTGCTGAAAGGCTTTTGAATTAGCCACATCTGTACGTTGCGCAGGAACGGAGTTGCGCTTTACAGCACCGAGGTTTTAACACGAGCCTTTGATAATACACTGCAGGTTGACTCATAGGCCAAGTCCTGCCTAGTTCAACTGTGATTAAAAGTTAATGTTTGGGAAGGGATGACTAATTCTAGGATCGCCATTGCTTTTTAATTCTTATTGAGGATATGAACATGGCTGCTTTTCCACATACACAACGTTTGGTGATTTTGCCAACTGATTCAGCATTGAAGTGAAACTATTTATTATGAAAGTGTTAACATTCCGATAGGTCCCAGTGGATTTATTTACTTAAGGGTTCTCTGTTTCTTTTCCTTTTTTTTTTTTTAAGAACTTGCTTCAGGCTAAACTTCAGCAGAGGAAATTTGCCCAAAAGTTAATTGGCTTTCCAAATACTGCCATGTAGTTAGCCCACTCGGGCTGTAACTTGAGTGGAAAGAAGAATTACCGCCTCCACTCCGATTCCCCGTCCTATTCGCAGGCCTGTTGTATATTCTTCTGTAGCAGACCAGCGGGTTTTGGAACTCAGAAAAGCTCACTTAACCTGATGACAAAAACCCGGGTTAAGGAGGAGGAAGGAAAAACAATTTAGCTGCTTGCCTAAACACTTCAATTTGTAAGAAGTAGACTTAGGTATGCTTTTTTTCTCTTAGCCTTGGAAGTGGGTTTATAGACTCATTACGGGTATATGTATGTTGGCATGCACCCTACAGACTACACAGCTATGCTACTAGTTAGTTACTTAATATGTTTTGAAAGTAAAATACACATAGGAGATTGAATTCGCCGTTTTGTGGCATCTGTCAGCCAAAAAGAATTGCAACTTCAAAGTGTATTTACTCTTCTAGCAAATAATTACATAAAAACTTATATCCAGCAATTTGCAAATTCACGCTATTCATAATCTATAGTTTTGTTTGTTTTAAATAAGATTTTTAACTAAGTGTTGTGCATCTGTAAGTTTAACTTATTTCTGCCAGTGATTGCCTAAATCATGCTTATTCTGGTTGGAAATTTAATTCTGATTGGAAACTCAGAAATGTATGTGACTTTAAGGCATAAATGACTACTGATTCCTTCCAGTTTCCTTAATTTGCCTAAATGAATCTAAGAAATTATAATCTTTTTGATAATCAAACCCTAATTCTAACCAAGGAATTTAAAAAAATTATGCTAAATTATGAAGATTATGAATCTGGGTTGTAAATACTGTTGTTCACACACTATTGACTATAAATTCTTTAATATATATCCATTTTTCCATCATGAAAAAAGCTATTTTACAAATGAAAAAACTGAGGCACATGTAAGTTAAGGTATTTGTTCAGTGCCACGCTAGCCACCTTGGACTGGAACTCACAATTTTTTCTGTTACATAGTTGTAAATATGTTTGTAAGGTCTTAAGTTACATTGTAATTGAACTGATAACATCTTTATCTTCTAGATGCAAAGATATGGTTGGTTTTTCATTCCATTAATAAGATGGCTTTTAAGAACATTTGGGCAGTTCTGTATCTTTTGCTTTCATTAAAAGTTGTATAACTTGTGATGACTGCTATATTGATGGCATTTGTTCACAGAAATAATGACAAGGGCTCATTTTTTCTAGGGCTTGTCCTAGAAAACATTATTTAAAATCTAGTTAAAAATATGTAGTTCCTCTTTGGGTTATATTTATACCCGAAACATTTTAGAATTTGAAAAAGCACCCATACTGCCTTGACCTTTTAAAAGTTAGGTTTTAAAATTCCACATTTATTATTAAAACGTTAGGAATGTTTTATTCACTCTGTATTAGTTGCTTTTAAAAGATGTAGAAGGCATGTCTAATGTATAGTAGGTAGAAATTCATTTACATGAACTGTCCATCAATAAAATTACAAATGTTTATAAAAACTATATATTAAAATTACATAAAATTAAAAGTATTCATTTGAAAACCAGTGTTCCCCAGTGTCAACTATTAAATATTGAAATTTGCCTTTGGTACTTAGATACTTGGTTGTGATGAAGTTTATCTGGGAAATTTAAATGTAAAGGCACTCTCTCTAAAAAGATTTCTTTTTTAAATTTTCATTTTAATATTTCTGATAGGCCAGTACTGATGCAGGCACTGCAGGAGCCTTGACTCCACAGCATGTTCGAGCTCATTCCTCCCCAGCTTCCCTGCAATTGGGAGCTGTTTCTCCTGGGACACTGAACCCCACTGGAGTAGTCTCTGGCCCAGCAGCCACACCCGCAGCTCAGCATCTTCGACAGTCTTCTTTTGAGATACCTGATGATGTACCTTTGCCGGCAGGCTGGGAGATGGCAAAGACATCTTCTGGTCAGAGATACTTCTTAAAGTAAGTGAAAAGAATGGTAGGTGATAGTTATCTCAGAAAAATTTGTATTGGAAAACAGTAAAGTGCTGTTAAGATATAGAATATCATTTATTTTTATATTTTACTTTATGTTAAGCTCAGTTATATCTTTTATAATTTTTTCCAGTTTGACATAACCTAAATACCTTTTTTTTAACATGGGTAATATTTTGAAAGCCTAATTGATTCTTGGTTCAATTAAAATAGACGCTTTTTACAATCTTTTCTTTTGAGGCAGTTTGGATAGTCTCATTTTGGGTTTGTGCCAAACCTGTTAATTAGCCTGGCAAAAAAAAGAATACTATAAAAATTTTAAAATTCTAAGAATTATAGGACTGGCATTGTCTTATGAAATATGTATAGTGCTACTTATATCTTTTGAAATAAATATTGGTAGAGAAGAACTATAAAATAAAATATTTCTGGGAGTCTAATTTTACGGTATTTTAAATTGTGAAATGACAAGCACTTTAGTTGCAGTTTGTGATTTATCAGGTTTTTTCATCAAAATGTAAAGAATATAAATTTTTAGGTTTGACATACACTTAGTGGCAAACTTCTTTAAAAACTAGCAGCTCTTCAAAACAGAATATCTCTTTGAAAAACACAAAGAAGGCCATCGTGTTGTTCATTTTCATGGGCCTTTTTGTCTTTAACAAAATGGCAAAATTGTATTAAGCTGAAAAGACCTAAATAGAATGTTATCTCCTCTAATTTTGAAATCGTAGATAAGACCTTAATTTTATCTGACTTGTTTGGATAAAGTATATACAAAATGTCGTCTAAAACTAATTATTATAGACTGAAATTGATGTCTTAAAAATGCTCACTTAATAGTATTTAATGAAGTTGAGATCATAAAATGAAAAACAATTCAAGTGTTGATTCAGATCTGTCTTAACAATCTACTCCTAAGGCAGATGCAACATTTATTAGACACGATAATACAATTACTGGTGATGTTTTGTTGCACGAGTCTTATATGTGTTTTACATTGATTGTCTTTCAAGATAGGTTATTTTCTAATGTAAGAAAAATTTGTGACAGGCTTATTTAGAAGAGCAGAGGAAAAGGTTTGATCCTGAAAAGTTTCTATAATGGTCTGCCCCTTTCCTGCAGCTTTTTCTCCTTTTTAAAATTCATTTTTTGGTGTCCTGGTATCCATTTCAAAGGGTCAGGTTTCAACCAGAACAATAAAGGGCCTGAGACTGGAAAGTACACACAAGTCTGGCAAACTCATCTGCATGAGCAAGATCATTTGTTCTCAATCCCACATCCAAAGTAAATGATTGAAAGAGCTTCTAGCTGTGAGGGATGTGTCTCGAAGGGGAAAGGAGTAGAAACAAACCAGGTTGTTAGGAAGAAAAAGAAACGCTACACTTTTTTGAACCTCTCCCTGCTGGGTCACATGCTGACCTGGGGAGATTTTTAAACAGCTTAATAGCCTGCTTGCCTTCTTTCTTTGGTTGATGCTGTGGCAAAAAGTATAAGGTTAAAGAGCACAGAGCAACATTTATGTTCTTCATCTTAGTCTTTTGTATCTTGTAATAATTGCCTGTAGGTGACATCTGCCTGCATTTTTATTATTTCGAATGAGTGATCTTTTTTGGGCTGAAATAAATATTCAGTTTGGCCCTCTGAATCGATAGGTTCTACATCTCTGGATTCAACCGACCGCTGATTGAAACTATTTGAAAAAAAATTATATCTGTACTAAACAGTGTCATTATTTCTTGTCATTATTCCCTGAACAAAACAGTATAAACTATTTACATAACATTTACTTATGTTAAGTATTATAAATAATCTAGAGCTGATTTAAAAGTATACAGGAGTATGCACATAGGTCATATGCAAATACCATGCCATTTTATATAAGAGACTTGAGCATCTGAGGATTTTAGTGTCTGCAGGAGGTCCTGGAACCAATCTCACACAGATACTGAGGGATGACTGTGTTTATTTTTTTTAAGTTGACAATGATTCTTCCTTTGAAAAGAAATGTTTCCCTTATGAAGGTATTAATATATAGATGCATTAATGAAGAGTGTGCACACCCCACTCACCTCATTGACCCCAGTCACCTGTGGGCCTGTAAGGAAGGTAAATCAGGCCAAAATAAGAATTATGCCATATGAGAAATAGTTGTAGGACTAAGGAGAAGTTTACTGGAAAAGAAAAAACTGGAAAGAGGAGAGAGAAGATATAATTGTTCTTTCAGTATTTCTGGGACTCTCATGTGAAAGTAAGATTAGTCTTTTTGTAGTATAAGAAATGTGAGGAGTTTGGATTCCATGGAAGACTTTTCTGATATCAGACTTTTCGAATTTAGAACGATTTTCCCAGAGAGTAAATCTTGGTCATTAACAGCAGAGTAAGTCATGTATTTGTTGGTAGCTGTCAGGGATTGTATAGAGGGCCTCTAAGCATTGAATGTGGAAGATGGGTGCTGTGGGCTTATAAAACTTCATATCCTTCTAAAGAGTATCTGCTTTATGAACGATAATGCAATTTGTGGAAATGTCAATAAAACAACATTAGTTCACCTTCTCCAGTTGTTAGCTACTCCCATGATGTTATAGGGTAATATGTCGTCATAAACAACTTATTTTTGTGTACTCCACAGATAAGTAAGATTAATATCCTGACTATGAGTCAAAGTCAGAGATGATGATAAACTAAGCTTTTGTGGTACCAACTTGTTTTGTCAAAATTCATTTTTACCTAGTTTTAACGTTTTAAAATCAGACTCTTGGCAGTCAACACTTTTTCTTCTTATATTTTCTTCTCGTGTCGAAAGAAGAGTTGTTGCCAGCTAGATGTAGAATGAAGATTTAAACTAGTTGCATATTTTACACTCATTTCCACAGTGAAATATTATATTTTAAAACATCTCTTTAGATATTTGTTGGAGCTTTTAGGTTACAAAGTATATATTAATAGCTTATTGAGATTTATATTTGGCATGAAGAACTCTGACTATAAATGGTCTAAACATGCAAGGTGCTGTAATTTGAGAGAAAACTTAAAAATGTTGACTTTGGAAGCAATTAATTGTTGCCTTGTGACCATAGATGTGTAAGTTTTTGAAGTCAGTTGGCCCATCCTCTAGTTTCAAGGCAGCGTAATTACTGAAGGAGTGTAAGCAGGCAGTCATTGATATTTTTAAAGCCCCCCTTAGGTCAGTGAGATACTCTGGAGAAGACTTGTATTTTATTTTGGCAAATGATATGGTAGAAGTATGGTATTAGCTACGTTTATCAATGATACACATTCAAGCTGTGGGATGATTTTGAAGTACATAAAAAAGGCTTAGTCATTGTATACTACATCTAATATGTGTTCTACTTAATTTACTGTTTGAAACTAATTTCTTAAACATATGGTACATTGATCTTTTATTTCAAAAGAATTCATTCTCTTTATGACTCTGTGAATTATTGCCTTCTTCAGCTGTCTTATAGTTTTCCTACAGGAAATAGTTCTTCAAGTAGTTGGTCAACAACTTCCTATTTCTTTATAAGCTGCTGAATAACTTCCTGAATTAGTATTCTATAATATCCCTGGTTACATGGAATGTTTTTACTTGTCAGATTATTTTATTGAATCTGATACCTTGTAACTGTTACTACCTACAAAGACCTCCTTATACATAATGTACCAGGTTGGACCTTAGAATTTGATTTAAGGAATCTGATCCTATGATTTTAAAAGTTTGTAGATTTGCATTGTTTTGATAATGTTCTTCTAATAATTTGTAAAGGATAGTTTTGTTTCATTTCCATTATTTATCATTTCCTGAATAACTGGCCTCAGCATTTTTAGTCTGTGAAGATTCAAAGTTTCTTGTGGCTATGATTTGATTAAGAGTTAAATTGAGTATCTTGATCCACAATTTAAAAAGGGCATTTTTTCAGAGACTTTTGACATTGCATGGCATAAAACTTAGCTATATTCTAACGTTAAATGAACTTGCCTTGCAGATGTAGTTGATAGCTATAGTTTCTTTTTCTGCTACATATGTTTTTTAGAAATGGATGCTCCATTGCCCTGATTAAAGCTACTTCAGAAATGTATGAATTAAGGGAGATGAATTAAAGTTTCTTGTTCCAGTTTGATCTTATGCTTCCCCTCTCAAACCCTTGCCCAGTAGAAAATTGTAAATGCACACAGTGTATATTGTTACCATAATAAGATGTTTTAAAAAGGAACAGTTTCATATAAGACTACCATTTCTTGTTATATCAAATATAACCCAAATGGGTTCCCCTTAAAAATGAAAAGCTTGTGATTTTGCCATTAAATGTTGATTAAATTGCAAACATACACACACACACACACACATTCTCTCTCTCTCTCTCTCTCTCTCTCTCTCTCTCTCTCTCTCTCTCTCTCTCTCTCTCTCTCTCTCTCTCTCTCTCTCTCTCTCTCTCCCTCCCTCTCTCCGCTGCTCCCTCCCTCCCTCCCTCTCTCACCCACCCAAACAAAAAAAGTTCAAATCGCAGTCACAAAGTATTTCCCTATCTGAGGGGAGGGCCAGTCCCTGCCTGTTTGTCTTGCTATTGAGGCTGAGAGGAGTGAGAAGATAAAAGTATGCTCTCAGCTCTTTAAAAAAAAGAAAAAAAAAAAAAAGGGCTTGTTTCTGCTCAGTGGGTGGGCATCCCAGGGAAGAATGGCATGCAGTACCACAGTGATTTAGGGAGAAAAACTCTGGAGGACTGTATTCAACAGAAGAAAAAAACAGTTGGAAGACAGTAGATGTGACAGAGCTAAATAGAACATGGAAATTAACTTATTCCCTAGGAAAAATATTGAATATTTTTAGTGAACTAAGAAAGATATTTAATTAAGAAACTGGATATTTAAGTGCAGCAAAGTCAATTGGCTGCAAGATGGTAGGCTGATTTTATTCTAAAAGTAACATTCTTCAAGTTGAATTTTGAGAGGAATCTAAAAAGTAAAAAAATAACAGTAACATTCAA